AGACGAGCTGCTCGGAAACAGAGACGGCTTCAGGTGCTCTGGCGCCGGCAAGGTCCTGGAGACCGGGGAGGGTCAGGACGGACCGCGGGAGAGGCTGCCTCCTGCGGACAGACAGCTCTTAGCGTGAGTCCCTTTGGGACAGGGAAACCTTTGCGCAGCAAGTACAAGCTACAAATGCCAGAACAATGTTGCCTGTTGGGGAGAAGGGGGCCCCAGACGGTGGACTTCTTCACAGGAGAAAAAGCAGCCTTTTCACAGCATCCATTCCCTCTCCTCCCTCCGCCTCACTCACTCTCTCCATCTGTGTCCGGGTCTCAATATCTGAATGCTCTTCTCAAACTCAAATCCTCAGATGTGACTGTGAGAGGCTTTATACTCTCCACTCTACAGGCAGCACTGTGACATTTTAAAATTAAGTAAACTATAAAAATGCTATACGATGAAATGGAACCATGGATCTGCTCTGCACACGACAGAGAAAGGGTCCCCACTTCCGATTCATACAGGAAGAGAACCAATGAACATGGGAGGAAAAAGACAAGAGCCCAGTAGAAAGGCGTGTGAAATGTTTCAGAGTTCTGATACTGTCAAGTTTACCCATCTTTTCCTCTACTTTGGGTTTTATGTATATTATTTAAAATATGTATTTTCCCCCTCCACACCCAAGAAAACACATCTGATAAGTGCTCATGAGAGAGGAAATCTTTCCTTATTGAAAGGGGGTCTGAGAGCCTCGAAGAAGAACAGAGTCCAGGTAAAAGGACAAAGGCAGGACAGCCTGCAGGGACCCTGGGGACACACACATGCAGCACAGCCGCTGGGGGCCCCGGAGACCTAGACCACCCAGAAAACTCAGGAAAACCACCTCCAGTAAACCAGGAGGATCAGGAGAGGGAGACAGAAAGAGGAAAGCGAGAGGTCAGAACGTTGTGCAGACAGAGGTGTCGGAAGGGCGTGTGTGGACTAACTGTCCAAGGAATCCCCAGCCCTTCGTGGGACACGGTGGTCTCCGGATCTGACGCTAGTTGCCTCGGCTGAGGTTCTAAACCAAGAAAACATGTGTACAGAAGGAAGCAACCGATTTCAGTGACATCATTCTGGAAACTGCACACATTTAGAGTAATTCCGTGACAGGACAGTGCAGTTGGTATCACCCTGAACGAGCGCTCTTGTGGTTAGCCGCTTGGGCCGGCTTCTCTCTCCCCACTGGTTTCAAGGCGGGGAGAGAGAGAGAGGAGGGGCGTGTTCGGAGACGGATGGCGGAGGAGAGAAACAATTTAAGGAGCACAGCCAATTAAAAGGTTGGTTTTAATTTTGAAACTAGTGCTTAAGTACCAATGGTACTGCCTTCAGCTCTCTGGAAACTACAGTGTAATTAGGTTCACTCAACTTAACTTAAAACATATCCAGTCATTAAAAAATTTTTCTGGATCCAGCCAAGTTATTGCACGTGCACACACACACACACACACCCCAGATCTCTAAGCCAAAAGCACATCAAGTCCCCAAGAAGCAGCAAAAACATGTCATTGCTTTACAGAAACCAGGCTTGTGTTCTGTGACCTTCGGTAAAGATAATGTTCCCCGATTAATTAATTTATGAATAGATCCCCACACACACAACGTGCACAACAGGTTCCATGCAAATTCTTGAGCTTTTAAATTATACTGTTAATGAAAGCAAATAAAGGCAGTTAAAAGGCAATTTGCTCAATTGGTGTTAATATTTAAGCACAGCATGTGTAAAAACAAGATCACAGAATTCAGTTTTTACCAAGAAAACTTTAACCCAACTTCATTTCCAAAAGACCAGATGCATTACCAAGACCGTCTTCTCCCTCTACCCTTCAGCATCAGGTAATGAGCCTTTTTATTAAGTAAATATTTCACATTAACCTCATCAGTTTCTATCACTTAGAAATTCTAATCTATAAAATCAAATCACCTTGATCATGTTTAGATTAGATCCCGTATCCAGAAGGCAAACTGAACTGTTTACCCCCTCTTCCCTCTCCTGGAAACACACCCAAGGACCAAGGTGCCAGGATGTCAGAATAATGGCATTTTCTGCAGCCTCCCTGGTCTTCGGTCTCCCCGAGAATCTGCACTAGTGAAACCAACACACCAGTCCTGGCATCTCCGCCAACTTCTAAACCAGCCTCACACAAAAGCTCTAAAAGTTTACTAGCTGGGCAAGAGCCATCCCGTGGCTTTGCCTGGGTGCCTGGAAGGCGCCTAGACTCGCCTACAAACGGGCAAACTACAGGTCTGATCATCAGCAGGTGACTTCCCAGGCCCCCGGGGGACTGCTCTGGGCCATCTGCGCGCAGGTTGCTGTGCAGACAGCTTAATGCCCAACCTTCCACCTTAGGGTCTGGGGGACGTGCCCAGGATCTCCAGAAAACCTGAGCCCCTCAAAGGAGAGGAGGGACGGCCTCTCTGTGACACTGAGGGTCCCCAGGTGCCGCCCCCTGCCCAGCCCACCCTTGCACACACAATCCCCCCCATTCTTCACTCCCCTGCTCTGGGCGGCCCGTGCCCTCGCAACACAGCATCGCAAAGGAGGAGGATTCCGAGGGTGACGCTGAAGGTCCTTCGAGCACCTGAACCCACCTGCTCTTTCCCCGCAGCCCCAGCTCCCCCAGCGCCTGTCTCTCTCCCTGCTTCCCCCAGCCGTTTGACCAGGCTGTGATTTCCGTGCTTTCCCTAACACAACCGCACCGCCTGAGAACCGGCCTACAGCCCGGCACCCACTGGGGCGCAAGCCCACGGGGCTCCAGTTCCATCTCTAAATCTGCCCTCTCCATTGCTCTCCTTGTCTCTGCCCGGGGCCCCAAGCCCACTTATCCCCAAACCGTTTCTATTCGATTAAGGGACTGGCCGCAGCAAGGATGTTTACACCAGGCTCACTTCCAGGCCGTGACCTGTCCCGAGGGAACACATTCCTGATGGGGGCAATGCAAAAAACTATGCGAAGCATCTGGGCCTCTCTGCCTCCACTCTGGCCTTGGGGAGCTCCATCTACCTCCAGGTGTGCCGGTGCGGGCCACCAGGGCACAGGGGATGGACAGGCCGCAGGGGCCTGGGATGCCGGCGGGAGCTGCAGACACTGCCACATTTAAATGGAGAGCTAAGGAAATGCCAAAGTGGGTTCTGCTAGAGGAAGAAACAGCCACCCCAGCGGTGGGGCCGTGCCCCACTCTCCCCCAGCCTCCCTCCCACAGAGCCAGGCCTCGGCTCAGTTCAGTCCATCACATGCTGGGACAACAGCCCCAGCCCCCAAACGGGACCGGCCTGCTGAACACGCACACGCACACACAGGAGGTGGGCAGAACTGCAGCTGGGCCAAGCCAGGTCTGGCCGGGTGCGCCCTCATCTACCCACAGACGCTGAAGCCGCTCTACCCCAAATACCCGCAGAGAAGCCCTACGACAGTGTCTGGAGCACAGCCTGAGCCATCAGCCCCGGGGCTGACTCCAGCTGCCCAAAGTAAAAAGCACAGGCTAAACATTTAAGCCCTGTGAACACCTCATGTGCATGAAGGCAGCTTCTCACCTGTGACACTGGGAAGCCGAAGGCCTGGTGTGGGGACTGGGCCGTGACGTGTACCAAAGCTGTGCTCAGAGCCTGCCCGTCAGTCATAGGTGGCCAGCCCACAGAGGCCACCCCCATGCCTAAGGACATCAGCCACCACCATCATCTACCCACCCAAGCAAGCCCTGCAGGAAATTTCCTAATAATTTCGGTGTCTTCTAGAGCGGTGAGTGGGGAAGGACAGGGCGGAGCAGGAAGCAGGGAGATGAGCTTCAAGTCTTACATGATGCTAAAGGGAACTCCTGCACCAAGCAGACAGGCAGTATGACAGAGAAGCTGATGGACAAGCACACGGACCTCAATTCCACTCCGAGAGTCGGACGCCATGGCTGCCGCTGCAGTGGCTGAGGCAGGCTCCCTGAGCCACACTGGGCTTTTTTAAAACGAGAAAGACAAAAAAAAAAAGGACAACCCTAAGACGCTGGAGATGAGGGGTGTCCTGCCCCCAAGCCACCAGACTCGGCAGCCGCCTTCCCCTGGCCGCATAGTCCGCACCCTCAGCTGCTCTCCGCGCCCTCTTTGGTCAGGGCCTGGGGGCTTGGAGCTAATGCTGGCACCAGAAGGCCCCCTGTGCTGCCGTCTCACACACAGAAGTGTGAACAGCTCAACAGTCGGTTGGGAATTAATGAATGACGAGGCCGGGAATTAATGAATGACAAAGCCCGTAGGTCCCGTCAGGCAGCGCCTCCTCCCACAGGCCGCCCGGTGTCACCTACCACGAGCACTTCCCAAGCACACACCAGTAAGAAAGTCTGGGGGTGGAAAAGGGAGCTCATGCGAGGCCGACTTAAAAAACAAGGCACACTGAGTCCCAGATGTTCCCCCGTGTTCCCTAGTCACACCAGGTCAACTTGAAAGTCATCTCTCCCCCAAACAGGACAGAAAAAGTGGGGAACACTGACTCCAGCCCTCTCATCTGGCTCAGCTCTCCTCTGAGAAACATCTATAGGAAGGTCATTTTACCAGCATCTTACAAAATCCAGAGCTAACGACTGTCCCTTCAAGACGCCTATGTTCGTATCCGCATCATATACATAGAGAGTCAGGGCAGCTGCCCAACCGCAGGGAAAGACTCTCTTAGTTGCTTCCAATAAACATACAATTGTTTGTCCGGGTACAAATCCATGGAGATCACTTTGGTGGGTCAGATCCCTTTAAAGAGGTACCTGTGCGGCCCCCCCAGAGGCCCTGGGCAGAGCTGCTGCATTTGTTCTCCCTAAATGACTGACTGTTGCATCGCCAGGGAGGCCAGAGCACAAGAAAACAGGTTATCTGAGCATCCAGCTAGACCTACACACAAAGTGCGTCATGCGTGTATGACAAGGTCTCTGCGGCTCTTGTCTGGAATCACCGGGACCAAAAGGGGGAAACACAAGCAGGCTCTGGGGTGGGCGAGTGGCACGGCCTGAGGCCCTCCCGGACCTGGGGCACAAGGGCACAGTCCATGGGACCGACTGCTCGGGTGTGGGCCCTCGCGGTGGCGCGGCCATGGGCCAACCATGGGGCGGACGGCCACTGCAGGTCACGGGTCATCCGCCCCAACGGCAGACAGGTGTCTCTACATGTGCTCCTGTCCCTCCTCCAGCCCAAGAGGAGAAGATGAAACTTGTCACGATGACTGAGCCTCTCAGTGGCATCCAGGCTACGAGGCCTGGTTGATGGGCCAAAATCTGGGACCCGAGGAACCTCCAGGAGAGACAAGCACAGACGGAAGGCAGGGGAACGCCCCAGAGTTTGGGTAGCGGTGAGGGAGTACGAAGGGATGAGAATCAGCTAGATTTCCTCCCAGTCAGAGAGGAGAGGGGGTGAAATCATCGGCCCTGCAGCCGACTTACACAGGCTTCTTCCAATGAAACGTCCCAAGGAAGCCAGAGTTAAGTGTTCAGATTTTATTTGCTTTTTCATTTTCCCATAAAAATCTATCTTAATTCTTTTAAAGACAGTAACAGGAATAGAGGCCCCATGGCCACAAAAGAGGGCACATCCAGGCGCAAAACGGGCCAAGGGGGAACTGGTGAGCCACCTCCTCGTCACAGGAGCAACAGACGCGTCGCCGTCAAGAGCACCTGCTCCGCGCAAAGTGCAGGCAGACGCACCACGAAGACCGGCATTTCCCTCCGAACAACCCTCCCTGTTAGAGGTCAGTAAGGACTGGCGGGGTGGGGGGTGGAGGAGGGGAGAGGGAGGGCAGGAAAACATTATGCAATATTAGAATGCTACTTTTATTTTAAAAGCCATCATGTGTGAAGCATTAGTGTTTTTGAAATTGCATTCTTCAGTTAATTAAATGGACAATCTTTTATACATAAAAGTGAAAGAAAGCAATTAAAAGCTAAATGAAGAAAAACCGCCTTCTCCTGGTGATCTGGGCTGCCCCGATTCCTTTGCAAAGACAAGGATCTCCCCAGCACCACTGTCCAAATGTTTCTTTTATGGCACCCTCGGTGACAGTGTGACAAGCATTTGTGTCCCTTCCAAGGTTACCTACGAGACTCTCAGGATAAGAGGGGGGGAGTACCGAGGGGCAGGAAAACCCCCACTGAGGCAGTTCATAAACTGAGCAGCCCAGAGAGAAGCGGACTTCTGCCTGGAAAGAAACCGAAATAGGTACCACACCTCTTTTTTGTCACCACCCCCAAAAACCAGCCACACCCAGGGTTTCACCCAAGAGAATCAACTCAGTTTTGGGGCTACCTAGCCAGCCTCAGCTTGTCACAAGAATCAGAGAAGTACATGTAGATGGCAGCTAGAGAAACTGAGACTAGTTATCAGACGGAACTTCCCGAATGTGCTGTTATGTCCAACGCAGCAGGTGCCAAAAGCCCAACAGGCCTATTTTCCCGTGTGTCTCCCCCCAGGCTGTGGTACGGCTCACCTGGCACAGGAGGTCAGGAAGGAGCAGCTATGGCGGCCCGTGTGACGAGCAGCCCTGATCTCAGGAGACACAAGGATGACGAATTCCCATTATGATCCCCAAGTGGACTTCATTCTGTTACTCAAAGCGGCTGAGATTACTCTGGTGCCCCTACAAGGATGTCCCAGTGATAAGAGGCCCTTCTTTCTCTTCGGTGTCAACAAGAAAAGCATGAATTAGTAGACATCCATTCAGTGGGGGTTTTTCCAATGCAAACTCGAGACGCAATAGAGCGATGCTCTCCCTTTGGAAGCTGGTAGGCTGAACCCCACAGAGGGCTGCTCCCACTGACCCCCAGCCACAAGGTCTCCTGCCTCTCAGCGCCAGGAGGTCCATCCCTTCCCGGAATCTGATGGTCACACCAGAGAGGTTTTGGGGAACGCATGGCAAGCCACAAGGGGACACCTCCACTCTACTCTGCCATCCCCTCACCCTCCACCCTGGGAGGCAGGGCCTCCTGGGGCCAGTGCTGACCCAGCTGTTCCAGGGCACAACCCTCTCCCTTTCTGCTGCGGAGAAAGGGAACAGAAGAAACGGCAAAGCAGAGATGGCCAGGCCCAAAGGCGTGAGGGAGGCTTACACGCTGGGTGCTGGAAGGGAAGGCTGTCTTTCACCAGCTGTGTCAGGTGCACGGGCGGCGTCTAGAGGCCGCACATGCTCGCTACTTACTCACACAGCCATGTTAAACCCTCCCTGTTACGCTTCCACCCTTTCTGCCTTCAAAGTAGGAATTCTTTGGGGCTGAAGAGTAGAATATGCTGAGTCCCCAGTTTTCCATGCAGGTTCACCTAGGACAAAACACAAAGTCCAAACATCTACACAATGCAAACACCTCGCCATAGAAAAGAGGCTCGAATTGCCACAAAGCTGCCTCATTTGGCTTCAGTTCCTTTTCAAAGTTCGCCCTCGGCAGGGGCACTCAAACTGTCACCTGGACCAACACGCTGGGCAATGAGGCAGGACGAGAAAAGAGAAGCAACTGACGTGGATGACCCAACAACTTCAATGATTCAGCCCCCACACAAGAAAGAAGAGTTTGTCGAGTTTCTCTTTGATTCCTCGGGCTCCAAACCCACATGCTGGTGTCAGGGAGGGAGTTAAATAAGCCACTGAAATGAAGCGCCTCTCTGCCCCAGCTCAGGCGCCCACACCTCCCTTCGAGACAGAAGGCCCAGCACTGTGGGCTCCAGCCGAGCCCTCCCTCCGCGCCGAGGCCGAGCACATCTCGGGCCCCAGCTCAGGGAAGGAATTCAGGATGGGTTAAACGTTACCTCTATCTCCACCCGCATCTCCTAACCCATCTGATAAGCGCTATGGAAAACATCCTGTGTACAGAGGTTTAGATACTGACATGGGTGGGGGGCTGGGGCCACCAACGACACAGGGGCCATGAGGAGTCAATCCCTGGGGGGCGGGGGGACCCACTCTTTGGAAAGTTCAGAGAAAGCAAAGAGAAGAAAGAGTCCACCAGCCACCACATGTGGTTACCCAACCACGAAGCAGGTGGAGACTTCTATGTCCCCAAGCTAAACAACCCTCTTCAGTCCTAGCAGACGGGCCACACTAAAAAGGAACGACGAAAAGGGTGCTTAGCCACACGCTCAGCCAACCTGCGGTGCAGGCCAGCCCCTGCCTGGCGAGCCCCTCACCAGGCCCCTGCACATCCACGTATGCCCACCGTGCCGCGGCTCCAGGCGGAAGCGTGGTCCCTGAGATGCAGTGCTGCCTACAGACCTCTGGTTTCAGCATCACTGATACAGGAAAGCTTGTCTTCAAATAAGGTCTTTTCATGTTCCCAGCAGCTGAGAGGAGCAGAACACAATGGATTGGAAGGGCACCATGCTGGACTGGACCGGTTTGTGCTGACAGACACCAAGCAAGGGCTTTGGCTGAGTCTGACCATATCCAACACTCAGCTGGCGTCGGGGGCCATGCTGAACGTCAAGGAGCACCAGAGGCCTCAAGCCTAAGTGGGTCCCTGCACAAAAGGCTCCAGGACTGGCCTTTCTCTGGAACTGCCCTAGACACCCGCCTACGGAATTCCCCAGGCACCCAGTAAACAATTACACGGCTGTTCACCTCTCGCTAAACCACACCTTAGGGATACAGGACAAACCCCAGGGCTATCGGCAAACAGCATCCCTCTTCCTAAATATGCCGAGAACATCCCAGGCACATCACCCGAGCTTTTTCCCGACTGGTTCACTTCCAGAAAGACGGGGGGTGGCAAGAAGACTTACTCACCTGGAAGAAAGGAAAATCTGAACTGACTCCCCCTTTTCCTGCTAACCACTCTCGCTGCCACCGTGATGGATGAGGACAGTGATGCCGAGTGACAAACCTTTCTCCTGAAAAGCAAAGAGCGAAAAATCCACCCGGGATGCCCAGGACAGCCCACACGTAGACGGGCAGGAGCATGTCAGGAATAGCAGCCCAGCAGCCTCCAGCCCCAGGGAGATTCAGACCCAAACGTGGCTGCCGACAGCTCACAGCAAGAAAGCCCTCCCAGAGCATTTGCTGAGAATTCCTTCCTCCTGGACAAGGAAATCACACCTAAGAGCAAGTCTGCGGAGCAATGCCGCCGCGGACACTGCAGCCCTCCCCAAGTGCCAGACCAGGCCTGCAGTCGAGCTGGCACCGGCTCCAAACCCGGGGAGGAAGGCCCCAAGCCCAAGGCCAGAAGCGAGGGCAGATGTGACCGTGCCGGGGATGTCTGCTCTCCAGAGCAGCCCCCAGTCTCAGGAGGCAGATAAATTAAAAGCCAGTGGTAAAACCGGACTGCCCCCTCCCCACTCGGGATGTCACTGGCTCCTCTGTCACCACCACAAAAACTGCAAAAACGGGCCACAGACGCACGAATGTGTCTCCATCGTGTGTGGCACCATGAAAAACACAGAAGTGTGAGCAGGTCCTCTGCTTTTGAGTAGAGAGAGGAGAAGGGAACGCACAGGGCCTGGGCACTGCAGGAGCAGCGTGGAGAGCCACACGGGTTTTTCACGCAAACCTCACAGTAGCCGCCCAAGTCTCGCAGGACCCTCAGGATGTGGGACTGGTGTCTGAGGACACACAATTTAAGAGGCAGCCAAGCTCTTAATCCAGGTCTGTCCTGGCTCTAAAAGGTGGGCTTTTCTCCCACACCACATCACGTGGCTCTCTTCAGCCCCTCCAGTTTGCACTGAGCCCCTCAAATCAATCTGGTTAAACAGACAAATTAGTCTAGGAAAACATGCGTCTGTGGCCCCAAAGAACCAATCTGCATGGAGCTGGAAAACATAGGAAGAGCTGGGTAAGAACTGAGGAAGATTCTAGATCCCTTTACAGCAGCAAGCGCTCACACCACGCACAGACAAGCAACAGAAACCCGGCTCACAATGATCCAGCCTTAGGGCTCCCCGGACCCCTGAGACACGGCGCACATGGCTATTTTCTCACTGAAAACTACGCTCGGCTCGCCCGCCATCCCTGGTGTCTTTCTGGATTCCCAAGCCAGCGTAAGGGTTGAGTAAGTATCCAACCTTCTGAAGTGAGGGGCCTGACAGCCACTGTCTGGCCTCTAAGTTTATAATTATCCCGGTCTTAGGAAATGTGGACCATTTCATGGAGCTGGACGTGCCGCATGGTGCCCAGGGGCTGTTGGAAAGGTCACAGTCACATCACCTCTCAGCACTGCCTGATGGCTAAAAATCTCCCTAAAAACCAACTACCTATAAGGGTCCTGGTCAAATTTCATCCTCCCCCCTCTGTGGCTGGGCAAGCTAGAGAGGAAAGGGGCCAGCTTGCCTGCACCCCGAAACACGCACACTGCTCTGGGACCACATGCCCGATGGACAGGACGGAACACCTGCTTGAAGAAATCCTGGTTTAAACACTCGTCATCCCGCCAGAACCACCAGAACCAGGTAAACATCAAATACGCAGCAGCCTTCTCAACCTAAGTCAACTATCACTCCTGCTACATTGCTGGGGAATAATGGTGTGCGATGGTCACAATTTTTTACTTGAATCTCTGAAGCACCACCCTTTCAACCAGCTGCAGAGATGCCTCTTCAATGTCCCCGGGTTTGGCTGGTCTGGCAAAACCCACCAAGCCTCCTTCAAGCCACCTCCCTCCCATTTTAGGTGTCACCTGTTGGCTGAAGGCTCTCAGAGGGACGTTTGATCAGCCACTTACCATCGTGTGACAACAGAAAGGAAAGCAACATTTTGCAGCTGCTGATTAAGGAGAAGCTGCCCATCTGGGTTAAAAAATACACCAACAAAAGTCAGGTCTCAATATACTAACGTCCTTCAGAAATCATCTCCCAGACCGTGGGAAGTGCAGGGGGCGCGGTGGGTACCTGCGGGGAGCTCAGCAGGGGAGCTCACACTGCCCTAAAACTCTCACTTTTTCCCCGAATAAACCAGAGCGTTCATGTGTGTCTGTCTGAAGTCACAGACACTGACTTGGAGACCACTGAGTACTTAGCGGGGGGCAGGGACGCTAGGAAGGCCCATGCCACTGCTCCCCAAGGACCGATGCAGTGTCACACCCTCACGCCCGAATGGGGCTGCGTGCTGACGTGGCACTGAGGCTGGTTCCCAAAGCGGAAGGTCAAGTGAGGAGAACCCGGGCTGCCTCCCTCCCTCTCCAAGGCTGAGGGCCTCAGTCCCTCACTGGCCGTGCTCAGGCAGCCTGTCACACTCACAGCCTGTGACGCTCACACAGCCTGACACTCTCACGTGGCCTGTCACGCTCACATGGCATGCACACCCTTTCGCTCACTGCAGCTGACCCTGCGAGGCTCTAAGAACCACTGGCTCACCAGTGGCCGGGCACACGACAACAGTCTCACCTATTCACTACAGTAAAACCCGCTGGAAGCTCCGGCCAGAGTGCCTATTTACCAGCAGCTACAGCGACATCCCATGTTCCTTTGCTGCTGCTGGGAAAGCGGCACCTCAGGGAGGAGCAGAAGCTTGGCAAGAACAGAAGTGGGCTGAGCCAGGCACCCGGAGAGGAGGCCCATCCACCTGGCACCTGCACTGTTCATTCCCAGCTCCGCGCCTTCAGCGGGCCACACCGCAGCGTTACAGGGCAGACACACGCCATGTATGTTCAGAGCATCAGGGTACCTACGTCCCCACGTCAAGGGGAAAAAAATATCGCACCACGCGTAAGTACGACTCCATACTTAGAAAAACTAAAGCCAGCATCTGTTTTGGCACCTCTCTTCCCCCCAGGAAGAGCACAGCTGTTTTAGGTGGATACACACCTTCCGAAATGCAGCCTTAACAAACAGAACATCACTCACCTGCTCCACAGACAGGTGTCATAAACAAGCAGCCACTCGGCACACACATTGATTTCCCAGCCCTTATCTCAAAGCAACCAGCGCTCAGTTACCAGGTTACTTTAATATGTAATTTACTGCGGGGAAGGCAGGGCAGGGCCCGGGTGTCTGAAATATTTACTGCAAAATCCGGCAGTGGCATGGGGGCCTCCCACGAGGGGTGGCGGCACGCAGGCCAACACGAAGGCGTCGGGCTGGAAGCCACAAATGACCATCAGCATTTCTAGGCAGCTGAGGGAGAAGGCCGACCCCCCACCTCGCCCTGGCCGAGAAGCCTTCACTCTGGCCTTGCTGATCTGCACCGACTACGTTCACACCGGGAAAGCCCAGCTCATCACTGCCGCTATCTGAATACGGATGTTCAATTTCTGCCAAAACAGGACACGGAAATTGCCTCCACCGATCACGGGGGCGAGACTGGACGCTTCACCTGCTCATCAGCCCACCTGACTCAACATGAAAAGGAGGCGAGCAAGGTGAGGGTTTCCAAAGCTTCATGCTGGTCTCCACAGGACTCCTGAGAATGTTGGCCATCTTGCAATTTTTTTTTTTCTTCAAGTCAGACTTTTTATATACCCCAGGCTGCAGAACACCAAAAAAAGGAGCCGAGACTAATTAAAAGCAATCGATGTGTGGTTACATTAAGTGGGAAAGAAGCTCGGTGTCTGGCGTTAAAGGTTGTAGGTTTAAAATAAACCTTGAAATGCCACAGTTAAGCTTCTTCAGATCAGCGCCCACGCGCCCACATGCACAGGACTATATATACGGGGAGCCCCGCGCCTTCGACGCTGGCCACCGAGCCTTCAAAAGCACAGACCGGGGCGGCCGGCTGCAACGCCCCCACGGGGTACGGGACACTTGCACTTCCATCCCGAGATTCTAACCTGTTTAGAGTTGCACAGAGTTTCACTGTGAATTTCATCAGGCATTTTTAAATTCTGTTTTAAATAAGAACCCAACGAAGAATCAGGGAAGAAGAGCTAGAAAAGGTCCCGTTCAGAAGCTCACACGCTGTCTGGCTACATCAGGGGCAGGCGCACAGCAGACAGAGGGCATAAAGCCTCCGAAAACCTGACCGCAGAGCTGCAAAGTCTACGCACATAAACGTCTCTTCCACAATTTTCAGAGACTTCGCAAACCGAGAACGAATGTCCTTCCCCACTGAAACCTCCCTACGTGGGAAAGCCACAGACATTTTAAAAAGTATTCGTGTGGAAAGAAAAATCAGAGTGCAAGATTTTCCTCAGACTTCCCTAGGGGTTAGAGGTCAACTAGAGGGAGTCTCAGAGCCAAGGTGGGGGAGATGCTTCTAGAATCGCATTAGTAATAAAAATACAGGGCCTCAATAAGTAGTCATATCGCCTGGGAGGCAGCAGCTAATAAAAACAACTCCATCTACATAATGGCAGTGACAATGGTTAAAGGGAAACGCGTGGTGGAAGACAGGGACTCAAGACGATATGCAGGTAAAGCGGATTTTTTATTTTTTAATTTAACAATGGGTTTTTAATGTATAATGTTCTAGGTATTTTCTAAGAAATTCTGTCTCAAATACCAAGTATCACAATGAACATAAAATACACTTTTGTATTGTGGTAAAACAGACACAAATGTACTCTTTAACCATTTTTACGTGTACAGTTCACTAACATCAAGGGTGTTCACACTGTCGTGTAACGGTCACCACCACCCAGCCACACAATGTTTTCATCGTCCCAAATGGAAACCCCAGTCCCCCTAAAGAGTAGCAACTCTCACCCACCTGTGCTCCAGCCCCTGGTAACCTCTATTTTACTCTCTGTCCTATGCATTTGCTTCCGATGAGCAAAGGTGCCTCACATAAACAGAACCATACAATACTTACCCTTTCATGTCTGCTTTATTTCACCTTATGTGACATTGCTGAGGTGCACCCCTGTTGTAGCATGTGGCTGTGTCAGAATTTCATCCCTTCTTAAGGCAAAACAACATTCCGTTGTACATATACACCACATTTTCATCTATTCATTCATCTGCCAGTGGGCATTTGGGTCGTTCCCACCTTGGTACTGTGATAATGCTGCCATGAGCATATGGGTACAAGGCACCCATTAAAGTCCCTGCTCTCACCCCCTCTGGGTACAGACCGGGAAGCGGAATTGCTCACAAAACAATGTTTTTGTTCTTAAACAGAATCCTTCGCTCGTGCGTTGGCATTCAGCACCTTCATCAGAATCAAAGAAGAGAGAGAGAATTATATGGAAAACTAAGGTCAACAAGGCTGCTGCAGAGGAAAGCCATGTGGAGTGTGTTCACGGTCACAAATGGTCACAAACATGCCCGTTAAGTGTTACTCCTGCCCACACAGGGGGCTGCAGCTGAACCTCCACC